CGCGAAATGTCTATGAGTGAGTGAGAGATCTGTTTCAACATACAGAAATGTCTTAGAGACTGCAAAAATTCCAGGGAACCAATCAATGTGTCACGTGCTTGAGAAAAGGTTCAAGGTAGTGACTTATATCTCTGAAAGATGGGGAATTGTTTTCGATCTCAGGAATTTATTAGAGAAGTCAGACATACCTTGATGTAGCCATATAGAGCTTCAGACTACCAATCAACGTCTCTGAATGATAGCCAAAAATTTTAGTGGCATAGGATGATTTGAGAGACGAAGAGAACAAAGTTTTCAATGACTGCCATGGGTGTGCGCAGTGATAAGAAGCCTAACCCTTCGATGAATGTCTGTAAGTAGGACGCAATATTTTTCATCACAGAAAGACACTCACGAGCGACAACGAAATTTTCAAGCAACCGATCAAAGCGTCAGGATGTAGGTGGTCGGGGCGATGTATGTGTGCATGGGTGTGGGTGTGAATGCAATGTAAATGTGCTTGGGTGTGAATGTGGGTGGGTTTCGGCTCTCACTACACCCACACCTACACTCATTTGCAAGGAAAAGAGTCATGCATGATCTAGCATGTTTTGCCTAAAAGTGGAAAACAAAACCATGATTGCATGCATACGGTTGTCAATGGCATGCCTATGCATGTGCTACTGTTTTGCATTTATAAGCAGCTATTGCTGATATTTTAGTAGCGTGTATGTTTTGTCTTCTAAAGTTTCGTGTTTGGCTAGGTGGTTCAAATAGTTGATGGTTGATCTTGGATAAACAACTTTGATTTCGTAAATTCTCGAATTCTGTATTTATTCGAGTAATATTCACTTTGAGAGTACGCTTTCATTCGTATTAATACAGTCCTCGACTTACTCAGCGAAATGTGCAAAGTATGAATCACTCCTTCTTTTTCTTTTAATCCTCTTGAAATGATAGCAAGACTCACACAGGTCAAATTTGAATTGAAGTAGACAATAGGAATGCTGATAGTTTTTTATGTTAAATAGTTTACAGATTCCTTCTCACTTTTTTTTCACAGTAAATTCTAACTGGTACATCAAAATAAATAATTGATTTGATAAAAAAATAAAATGAGTTCGAGATTATTCTAAAGATGTTGAATTGGTTTTTGAGTAAAATTACAGGAATAAAGACTAATAACTCTAAGGAATGTAATTTCATCATATTAGGTTCGATTTTACTTAAATTACTGTATTGTAGTGACTTCTACTTGGAAAATAATTATGAAAACTTTCTACGCAGAACTTATGCACAGTTGAGGCTGTTGTGAGCTTTTGATAGCATGATCGGTCATATATACTTATGGTGTAAGTCGAGATTTATGATTTCCAGAGTGTATTTATATCACAGAGAGTGTTACACTATACTTATATACGTAATTAAACATTGTAAAAGAACGTCTGCACAACTGAGAATAAACGAAACATTGATGGGTCCACATATAATCATTTGAGATGGCAAATTTTTAAATCATTTTTTCAATACTTAAAATTTGCTTTGAACGATTCAATAATTTTATAGTGAAGGCTCTATTGAATAGTTAAAAGAAAACTACATATGTTATACTGTAAACGTGGATGAGATTGTTAGCAAGTGTTGATGACTTTTTGTTCGGCAGGAGTTGAAAGGTTTGGTAACAGAAAATTCCTTTTACAGTTTAATTCAATTATTAAAAATAAGCAGGTCTCACAAAGAGTTGATTGAAAGCCATAGATTTTGCGAGTTTCTAGAATACTCAGAGTTGTATGAGTTTCTCCATCTGTTTTAGTTCTACGGATTTTATGAGATCAGAGAGTTCGTAGTGTTTCTTGAGTCCTAAGACTATCATATAGTATTTAGTATTAAAATATTTGCTTTTGCAATAGATTTTTAAATTTCGTCAATTCTAGGACTTTCGAACTTGGAGACATTTGCCAGATATTCTGCTATTTTCTTCAGGATTAGAAAATCAAAGGTGTTTTAGTAATTTGCAATGCTTACCTGTAGAATAATCATCAATCTAAAAAGACTGCTGTCAAACAGAAATATCTCAATCAGAATTGCGTTCTTGATGATACATCTCGTCTAACTGAATTGAGTCAGGATTTCAGGGCTAACAAATCTTAAACTCTCAAATTAAATGAATCTTATAGTTTAGTATCAATAATGCTTCTTCAATACAGTGATGTCAGTGATTTTCGAAACATGTTTTTAATTCCTATTGTGGCAACTATTATATATTCCTATTACATTATTAAAGCAAACCGTCAGATTAGCTAGCGTTGTACGAAGTGTGGAGCAAAGACTTCTATGAGAACTCTCTATTCATAATAGCAACAAATTAAAACAAATAAATTCAGTTGAACATCAAAGAAACACTAAAAAAAGTAAATGAAAACTGAAACAAGATCATAATATCAAATAATGGAGCGATCAGGTAACAATTTCTATCTGAATCAGACAGAAAATGTTTGACTAGTCAGGAAATATAAGGTTGAAAGTAGAAAATCCAAAAAAATATGGTACTCTTTGTGATCTATCCTTTCAGAGACGAAACAGTTCAAGTAGCCGAATGTAGAATGAAATACCCCGCAAAGTAAGAGCTGTATGTAACTGCAACTATGATAAATATGATCATTTATCACGTGAGAAAACTGAGAGTTTTGTGAAATAAAACAGAGTCTCAATTCTACTACTGTTATTTCTCTTTTATCATTGAAACTAAAAGAACACAAACTGAATTCATGAAATACGTTCATTACCACTAATATGATAGCACTGGAAACTTATGAAGTAAGCTTCAACATATTTTTTGTTGTAATTTCGTCGATGAACGGTAAAAAAATATTGAATACGAAGTATTATTAAACTTGAGTATAATAAGAAGCGTTTTTTTCTCATGAAAGAAGCGTGTCAATAGCAGTAAGAGACGAGAAATTTAGACTTTAGATTGATCATTTAATAAACAGAGCCACATATAGGTCATATCTATTAAGTAAGAATACAGATTGTTTTCTGCTAAACCCTATCGAATTGAATATGTTTTTACCTTTAACTTAATTAAATATACCAAGTTTCTATGTAACAGAGTGCGGTTTGATCGTCACAAGACAGATGTAGCATATAATCATATTGTCTGCAAGTGGTTCTGGATATAACATAACGACTGAGAGTTTGTCAAAGGCAAATGCTCAGTAAGTCGATAAAATTATCATACAACAGATTTCCAGCTGAATTCCATCGGTTTCTCTTTTAGTATAGTTAATATTGCAATTTTCTATTCTATTAAATACTTCAATAAAAATCAAAAACTTGATAAATTGAATTAAACTTAAGAAGGACGTCTTAAGAGCACGGTTTATTCTAGACTTTATCTAGTCTTAATAGATTCTATTTAACGAATAAAGTTTCATCTCAAAAGTTTCTTATAACTTGAAACGTTCCGTACGTGAGACTATCAACCACTGTATCATACCATAAAGTCAAAATAAAAATCGATTAATGTCAGACTTTTTTTTTGCGTATGGTAATTGATTTGCATCTGGTCATAAGTCGCTCTAAAAGACTGTTTCCAATCGATTTTAATTTTAATTTTGTAGCATAGTAATGAAAAATTATGACTTTAATTATGTTAATATGATTTTGTAATCTCAACCAAATTCAATAAGTAGAAGTATTCATTGAAAAAAAAACGAAGAGGTGTTTCATTCTTCAAAAAACAAGATTTTTCGCCGATTCGTAATACACTAATTTATTTCATTGCTATATTTTATTCGTATGTTCCCTAGAAAATGCTGGGAGCAATAGAAGAAGTCTAACTCTACTAGAAAGATGTGTTCAAGGTGTAGCTGTACAAAATAAAAATTGTTTAGATTTGCTTTTGACAGTAAATTAACAATGACGAATGGATAGAAACGCCACTGAGGCCAATAGAAGATGACCACTGTTGTACGTTCCGTCATCATCAATCATCATTACCGATCACTTGAGGAGATTTTTTAGGATGAAAATAGTCTAAAGAAATTTGAAGATCTATCATTGAAACGAAAACGACAAGAAGACTTCTTTCTTAATTGTCTTTCGTTTGATCGAATATATACAAATTATGATTGTTTTTTAGCAATGACAGAAATATTTCGAGTAAGAAACATGCAATAGTTCGTCAGCTTATTCTGTTTTTTTAAAATAAAACGAAAGTAGTAAAGCACCATAGGTAACTTTAAAGCTGACACTTCCCAAAAAATATGACATGAACTTTATTCTCATTTTTTTACGTATAAAAACTAGAATCCTATATTCTTTTGTTTGAAATTAACGTTAATCACATGGCCCGAGTAAATCATTTTTCATAAAACTAACGCTTGAACAAGCATTTTTTTCTAGCTAAATCTATAGATTTATTTTTATCCATTGTTCTCTGCACTTATTTGAGAACACAGTTGTGAAAATTCTCGCAAAGTCCGCACGATCAGTGTTCAGTGAGTTTTATTAAAAATTGTAATAGACAAAAAGATTGCTTGTTCTAAAGTTTTCAGTGAATCTCGTCCTTCATCCATTGAAATATAAAGAACATAAAAGTGTTAAAAAACGTTTCGGAAGAAGCAGTTATGTGTTAATGAAACTTATGTTAAGAAAACTGATATAAAATTAGACAACGAAGAATTGATAGATAAGGAAATAGCGGGCATTCAATATCGGACGAATTTCTATCATATTAACAATTCAATATAAAAACTTTAAATCACTTTGATATCGTCATGAAAATATATCTTGATATGAATATTAGAATTCATATCACACGTATTGGAGATCTGTAGACATATCAGATTGAATAAAGCCGTATAATTAAAGTCGGATGGTCGTAAAAGTTGATTATTGTCATAAGACAAAACAGATGAATGTTGACGAAAATATTACCGCGTACAAAACTTATTGTTTATTATTTTTCAGATATTTATCATTTTTATATTTCGTGAATAGCTTTCTTTTTGTTGAAAATGGCTACAAGTGGTGGAGAAGAAGCGATAGCACAGCGTATTTTACGCATTACAGACATTGTCCAGGAGCCGCTTGAATTTGTCACACCCATTGGTGGCTATGAAGAAATGCCACTTGTTCCACTTGAAATAGCTGTTGAACCGCTTGTTCCTATTCTACCAGCTGTTCAAAGTCATGTATATGTTGCCAAACAACGATGTAAGAATCCTACCGATGAATTGACACAAGATGAATCCGCCTCAATTATGTTATATACGATGGGGTGGAAGCCACGCGATAAATGCCTATATTTTGTTTTGAATGACACATTACGATCACCAGATCGACAAGAAAAGCTCGAACCATGGTATTTATTTCTGAGACTCTTCCTTAACGCACTCTCTCGTCTTCCATCACTCCAAAAAACTGCATACAGAGGTGTTAAATTAGATCTAAGCAAGCGCTACATCAAAGGAGAAACAATCGTCTGGTGGGGTTTCTCATCTTGTACAACAGCTGTTAATGTTTTGAATTCGAACCAATTTTTGGGAGCGAAAGGTGATCGTACGATGTTTACCTTACAGTGTCTATCGGCTAAAGATATTCGTAAGCATTCTTATTATCCAGCTGAAGACGAAGTACTTCTGATGGCTGCTACTCAATTCAAAGTAATCGGTTGTCTTAATCAAGGTGATCTTCATATTATTCAATTGGAAGAGACTCCTCCACCGTTTCCACTCATGCAACCAGTACCAGTTATTATCTCCCCGCCGATCGATCCAACTTCTTCGGGTAAGTGAAAATCAAAACGAAAGAATATTCCACTTGATAAATAATAACTCAGCTTTCGATACCCTGAAAAAAGTCAAGAATAATATGCTTCGATCAATGTACGTATCATACAAAATGAGCACAAAGAATCGATTTCCTACCGATTTAAAAAGCGTTCACAAACAGAAATAAAATAGAGTTAGTTTAAAAGAACAGAAAGAAAGACTCTTCATGATAATCTTCGATTTCTTACATAGTTTAAGTAATCAATTAAGATCCTGATCAGTTTCAATTACTTTCTGCTTCATCTATTAATATCTAATTTCTTTCGTGAAATCTAAAGAAGTGATTCAAGTTGATTTGTTTTCTAGGTCCACAAGTATCACTAGAAATATTTTCTTCAGGAGATGCTTTCTTCTCCTATACTACCGGCCCAAAGAATCGTAGATATTGGGTAGATGTAATGAAAATTTTTCCTACAGTTAGAAATCCACAAAAATACTCTTGTTTTTGAACAACTTCTAAAGGATTTGGATGAAGTTAGAGTAAGAGTGAAAAGAAGATTTGACACCTTCATCTCAAACACTCATATTCACACCAATCACTACTTTGATTAAGCTACTAAATAAAATAAAAAGGTATATTGAACTTTATCCATAATGCCACCAAAAATCTCTCAAGAAATGAATAATTGTTTTGAATTGTAGAAGCCTCGACAACGGCTGCTGTTGTAACAATCGAAGCAAAAAAACAGACACAGTCCAGCAAATCTCAAGTAATTCAAACAATTTCTGAGTGACTTTTCTTTGTTCATATCTATCTTTGTTTTTTTCGTAAAAGAATACAACTGCAGTAGCCGCCACTGCCAGTACCATTAACGTTGGTGCCAGCTCCATCATGAAACAAGTCAGAAAAAAGTCATTCTAGAAAATGAATATTCATCAAATATCTCGTATCTTTAGATGTCTAGCATGGAAATCAAAGCATCGCCAAATAAAAGTAGGATGTCGTTGATTATCGCCTTGATTATGAGATTCACAAGTAGTGGTGAAAGTTATGCGATTCTAATAGCTCTTATTCCTCAGACACATAGAACACACATGGAAAACCTCCGACTATGTGCCTTCTTAAAATTTAGTTTGTATGAAGTTACTTCATTTTTGAAAAAAATTTCAATTTTCATTCATGGACAGGAAGTATATATCCTTTAGGATGGATGTAGATGTAGGTATGAAGCTATCCAACACCTCCACACTCACGTCCGATTATCATAAGATCACACATGTGTTCTTTGACAATTATAAATTCATATTTTTTCCATGTGTTATATTTTACATTTATACTATCTATTATAATATGTACAATAGTATAGCAAACTGTTCTTAAAAGTAATCCATTTTTTATAAACAGTCTTACAGGTATGAAGTTTTAAATTAAGGAATGTAAAATGTAATTAACAGTAATATTGTTTTTTCACATAAATTGCGATATATTACTCTCACTAAAAACTAACAGTCAAATTTCCTACTCATAGAAAAGCTGATTCAAGATCTACTTGAGTTTTATGCTTCCTAACATTTTATGTTCCACAGTTAGGGGTGGACCATTAACATTAATCTTAAATTAATGTTAATATTTTTCATTAACATTAATATTAATGGTTAATGAAATACATTAATTAATGTCATTAATTAAGTCCCGTTAAATTAAATGGTCCACCCCTATTCCACAGTCTCTCCAATTCAAAAACGAGAAACTGTTGTTTTAATTCCAACTCTTATCTCAGAATTGTTTGACACATGTTGCTTTTAAACTCATAGTCTTCATCTACTTTTATAATTTTCAACAAATTTTGATTGAATAACACTCCTATTGATATAATTATAGTTTCCATACTGTTTTACATGTATCTTTTTTTGTCGATCAAAGAAAAGAAATAATACTAAAATGTTCTTTTTGCCAGTTATAAATTTTGTGATTTCTTCCAATTGTAATTAGATATCAACATATTCGAAGTATATGACATTATATAATAGAAATGAAAATTTATTCAAGATCTCAATTATAGCTAGATTCTTCATGTGCAAATTAAAAAGGATTAAATCATTTCAATTGATTGAAAAGAAAATCTCAAATCAATTCATTCATTCCGAAATATTATCTCCGACCCACTTCACTTGAAACTCTGAGAGGAGACTTGTTAAAAAAAGGTTTTATCCAAAATAATCCCAAGATATACGATGGAAAAAATGAATGAGTAAAAGAGGCATACACAGAAAAGCTTTGAGCTGACCAAGATTAGAAGGCACATTCGCATTTTTTCTCAACTAGATTACTGGTTTTTTTTTCGCTATTTCTGATGCAAGAAATATTTTCTATTCGGGAGCATCTTACATAATTAACAGGAAACTGCGCTTCATTTTATCTTTCTTTTTTCGGAATTACAAAAAAAAAGATTTTTTAATTCTTTTAACGCCGGGAGTGTTTAGACTAGTGACTACCAATTCAAATCATTTTTTTTCAAAGACCAAAATTAATCAAAATTTCCTTGAATTAAGGTTCAAGCCTTCGAAAACTACTTGCGTGCATGCAACTGGTACTACTGTCGTATGCAAAGTTTTCTTCAGGTTGATTAAAAATATTGCTATCTCATATAGTTTCGTTCTAAAAACTAAACTGCTGTTAGATACCAGTCATGACGTGTCTTAAAAATATTTTCCGTCAAAGACTGTCATGCTTGTAACGATTGTCTAAGAAAATCAACTAGCTTTTGTAGTCGCTACTTTACAAAATGTTACAGAAAAGCATCACTTGTTGATTATTTTTGAAAAATAGTTCGCAAATTCTCAGTGTTTATTTTTGTTTCTGGCTTTGTTGACTACAACATTATTTTCTGTTATAATGTTGTTTTTGTTCGTTGTATTGCATCCTATAATCAAGTTGGATCTTTTTCTCCGTTTTAGTTTTCTTTTTTTCAAGAGCTAGATACATACATCTTTGTTATTCGAAGTCAATTATTCATGTGCTCCTTCTCTCAATTATTTCCTAGTAAAAATTTTTGATGTTTCCACGCTAGACCCTTGAGGAGTCCAATAAGGATTCTGCGAGGATTCACTAGTTTTTTTCTGAGCGTACGACCGAGTTCTGAAGAAAGAAGATTTCTCATTGAAAAGGCTGAATTTCCATTGAATTATTATTGTTTTATGTAGTTTATAAAATTCTATGACATTTTGTATTAATTTCACCAGTTCGATTAACATAAGAAAAAATTTACTTGTAATTTTGTTTTCTACATACATAAATTGAAATGATGAACAAGTGTGACTAAATGATTTGTCTGTTACCCAAAATAATTATTTAACAAAAAAAACATTGATGAAATAACTATGTTCATTGAAAGTAATATTCGAATTGTAGAGTTTTTCAACTTTTCTTTCAAAATATAACCATAAAAATAACTACTGTTTCCAGTCTAAAGCTCAAGTCAATATCATGACAAATCTTTAGAAGATTCTAGACAAACAAAACAAATTTCTTTTAGATTTTCACCAGAAATTCTTGTGTTTGATCATACACAGATTCAACCGTGTGCGGAATGAAATCCACCTATACTTTAAAATTTTGTTAAATTCGAAATCGAATAAAATAAAAATTTGAAAAGAAATTCTCGTATTTATTGCTATTGAGATTCCTTTACAATCGGTTTTTTTGTGAGAATCCTCAAAAATTTAGATCTATTGAATAACCTACAAAACATAAACTTGCAAAGGTCTCAACTAGTAGATCCTTGCCCTCGATTTCAGAGCAAGATTTTGATTGTAGATTGGTATTGTCTTGTAAAGAAGCGAAAATGCGTAATTTTAGAAAATTTGTTTAGAAAATTTTCCTTACTTCGGTTAACATTTTCCTCTGATCTAAGTTACAACTGTTGATTCGATTCTCGTAACAGAATCATCATTTTGTCTGCTAATTCTTCGAAAATCCTTAGTAGAATCGAAAGTGAATCCTGCTAACATTTTGCAATTTTGATGTGAACAAAAATTTCTTTTAAAACGGATAGAAAGCTCGAGAAATATCATGCAAAGATCACCAATGGATCCTTGTAATGATTGGTATCACTTGGCAATGACTTGACATGGTGATTTTTCGCAACTTCCGAACATAATTCTCACAATTATAATGAAGATTTCGATCAACAGATATGTATCAGATTTTAGAGACTCTTATGAAATGTTCTTCGAATTTCTCCATGTAGGATTCTTATAGATCTCGTTATTTTCCTAGCTATTCAGCACATCTCGAAATGGGCCGTCCGGTCCAAACTTTATTTCTTTTTTCAAGGAGGATTTCTCACATAAGAAAATAGCAAAAAATCTGCTTTTAATCGATTTTTTTCTAACTAAAAGATTGATTAAAATGATACTAGTTGAATACGATAAGAACCTGTTTTTTTTCAACTTTGAAACTAATTAAAGATCATCGTTAAAGTTGAAGAATCAGACTTCAATCAGAATTAGATAGCACCATTTTAATCGAGTTTTACTTAAAAACAATCAATTTTATTCTGATTCTTGATCAGAGTTTCTTTCATGGATTGGGTGTGGGGGGGGGGGGGGGGGGGGGGGGG